TATATATATATATATATATATATAAAAGCGACGAATTGCAGCAATAGTTGTATAAAAATCATCGATTAGCACGCAACGGCGACACGCGCCTTGTGGAAAGATTGAACCTTCTTGACTGTAACTCTTCTCCAAACGTTGCTCTAGATCCACATGAATTGAAAACACGTATCTATTTATGATAAATTACATAATTGTAAATAATATTCGTATACGTCTAAGGTAGAAAGTGCGATGCGAAAGGAAAACGTCATATTATGTCGCAACAAGTTCCTAAAATAAATCACAGATATCGATGACAACGTACGACTTCTATTTATCACCTCTTCGTTTCTATAATACGAATTTTATTCAATGCAGGTTGCAGGCTGAATTACGAAATTAATTTTTAATTAATTGTCTAGTAGTAGACATATTGAGTTATAACTCGTGGTGTGGATCGTGGATCAAGTACAACGATGGCAAACTGTACTTGGATATCGGAGCTCAATTTTTCCTTCCATTTCTATCTTAAAATTGCAAGATTGTTAAAAACAAATTACGTAGGTATATATTTTCCAATATTTGGATTTTTTTATTACATGTAGAGATCGTAAAGCAAGGACTCTAATATACTAGCAGATCATTCAAAAAATTTGTAATAAAAACGTAAATAAAGAGAAGCTTCAGCTTCCAATTTGTGGCCACCAATTTCTATTAAATATTAAAAATGAGCATTAAGATAACGAAGTGGAAAAAAAAATCAAAGTGACCTTCTTAAGGAAATAAATTGAATTTCTAGTTAACAACAAAAATTAATTCGCTTTTAATCAGTAAGGTAAATGTCCACGATTACAGTGACTTCGTAATTTTGCGTTCCAATACCTTTGAATCGTACGAAAATAATATTATTCCTATTCCTTCAAAAAAAAAAAAAAAGAAGAAAAAAAACAATATAAAACCACGAGTATAGATAGGCACATTATTGCTAAACTGTGGTTAGTGGTTGTTCTTGTAAAAAATTCGACGATATTCAAAGGAGAGACGCGATCATATGTTACCACGCAGTATCCTTGCGAAGAATCATCAGTATTTATGATATGCTAATTTCCCGTTACAAATTCCGCGATGTTTCGCGGACGACTGCTTTTGCCGGCTACAGCCAGTGAAAACCAGCCGTTTGGAAAACCAGTCGTCAACGAAGCAATGGAAAGGAGTGGCAGAAGAAAAACTATATATCTACCAGATATCATCGTATCTCGTTCTCGTAAAATGTGAATCGGCTCGCGACACTTTTCAAAACATTTAATAATCCCATATTTAATCGTCGTTAATTTTTTTCATTGATGACATTTAATAAGTTCGCAGCTTTCTCACCACGAACGAATTATTAAAAAATGTTACGGATTTATTAATTAAGAAGGAATATCCAAAATTTAGGTATTGGTCTAAATAAATCTTTCGAATTTTTTCGTATTCCAAAAAAAGGTGTGTATAACACAAAGAGCATTCTTCTTCATTTTCAAGATTGATTTCTTTATAATATGATAAGGAGCAACAATGAAAATGCACGAGTGCGATTTTTAATTATTAATGTGAAAGAAGATATGTCGCTTTGTGAAAACCATAGAATTTTTTTGTTTTTAGTATTTCTAAGGCTCACTGAAAAGCTAAACAAAGAAGTTTAACGTTCAAAATCATGGCAGATCAAACAATGAATGATATCTTTCAATGAGACGTTTCAATTTTTAAGGATTTTTGGAGAATAAAAGTACCCTTACATTCTTGCTTGTTATAAAGACATTTTTCAGAAAAAGAAAGGAAAAAAAGGAAAAAAAAACGACAAACTGTGAAAGTTCGTGAGGTTTCACGCTTTAAAAAAAACCAAGTCCAAGGATTGGATTCTGATCTATTTTTCTTATAAGTATAAATAAATAAAATGAAAAATGAGAGTGCAACATCCGAAGCTGAAGTCGAAAACGTTGCTCCAATCTTCTTGCCCCGCGATGTCCAAATAACGATTTTTCACGGATATATAACGATTACATAACGGCGGTACACCGCTTTTATCATCATCAAAGCCGATCGACTCTACGTTAGAACGTAGACGATGAAAATCTTGCTCGGGCAAAGTTAAGGATTACGACGGTCGCGGGGTGTTTCGCGGGACTAACTAGAGGGTGGCGCAAGAGTGGAGCGTGCAGACGAGAGCAGAGGCGGGGCACTCATGTTTATATGCATTGTATTGCTAAAACCCTTTTAACCGAATTACATT